GGGTATATAAGCTCTAAATGACCAAGTTGAGGGGTATATCAGACCCTTTTCCCTTAATTAATTAATTAACATTATAATTGCGATCAACTAATATTTATTTTAAACTAATAAAATAAATAAAAATACAAAACGGACGAAAGATTAAATATTTTGATTTTTGAGTCTATCAATAAGGACCAAAATAAAAATATCTATTAATCAAGGGACTAAAAACAATATTCTTCCTACTATTATTAATTAATTAACATTATAAGTGCAATTAGTTGAGATTTAATTTGAACTAAAATAGATTTGCAATCTCCATCAATCCCACAATTGGCAACTTGATAAATTATGTTGACATATTTTATTTTATTTTCCTTTTTGGGATAACGTCATCGTCATTAAAAAAAAGAAAAAAGAAGGTAAATACAGTGAAAAATATTTAATTAGTTAATTAATTAGGATTAGGACCTACATTCAGTAGCTAATCATACATATTAAATTACAAAACATGTAGCGTGGCATGCCTTTTTGGTTCTTTTGAAGGTTAACGTTTCTAATTGTGATTAGTTGCACTTAATTATTTTTAATACGAGATGATCTTTGTAATATTAATATTATTATCTGGTGCTAGTTGTTCAATAATCAATAAATGTTTATTGCTCAGTAACATAAATAAATATTAATTTTCAAGAAGAGTATATATTTATGTTAATAATAATAAAAAAATATTTGAATTATTATCGATTATTTTTTCATAAGTTCTACACTTTAATTATCTATTGTTCTTTTTATTTTTACGTCAATTGTTAACTTCCATAATTTCACATCTCGGTCAGTAAACTCAAACCCTTTACCTATATCCAAAATCTTTATCTCTGTCATAAACACAAACCCTTCAATTATAACTTTCATTACTTTAAATTCAAAATCTTATTTCCGTCACTGAATTCACGTCCTTTAATTATAACTTCCATTATTATATATATCCAAAGTTCAAAACACAAAATTGTGTCACTTAGGCATCGCAAAGCTATACGATAGAAACATTAAAAAAAAAACAGACACAAAATTGGCTAAACGTCAGTGGTCCTGGTCCCCTTTGAAACATCCATCATATCACCAACGTACAAATGTGCCATTTTAAAAAAAATAAAATATCAAAATTTATGTATATGTAGGGTTAAGTATAGTGGAATTCATAATTTAGACTCGATGAATTTTGAATTTTTATGAATACTTTTTCTTCTAATATGAAATTTGGATTATATATACGATTATTTAAAGTTACGATTCTTTTTTTTTGTTTAGGTAGTTTAATTAAGATCTAAATCAGAGTCAAATTTTGCCTATTAGACACACGTTGCTGACATGATACATCGCGTTTTAAAGCATTATTCATGACTAAGTTGAAGCCATGAGTGATTCATTTAGTTTTAGTAAACTATAAACCAGTATATCTAATGCTTGATTAGTAATTGTCAAACTTTATGAATTCTGAATTGAATTATAATGCATATCTAATTCTATTAAATTTATTTTTTCACATGTATATATAGAATTTGAATGGGAAATATTAGGTTCATACATATAGTTAGATTTGTCACTAGAAAAAAAAAATTTGGCATTAAAGATTGTGGTTGGGTGGATATGATATCTTCCATCCATCCTTAATTAAAAATTGCGTCATTACATGATTCTTAATTTGATGTCAAGTATGATCTTTAATTTTGGATGTGCATAAGTAAACATTTAAATTTGTATAAAATTGAACAAATAAATAATTTTATGTCCTATTTGGCGTCCTATACGTGTATTATGTCAGGTAGGACACGGTGTGTCTACTTGTTCAATTTTATATAAGTTTAAGTGTCTACTTGTACATATTCAAAGTTGAAGTGCACAATTATTTACTGAAGCAATTTAAGGGTCATGTTTATGTATTATGCCTTAAAGATTTCAAGTTCAAGTCTTATGAATGAAAACAATTAAGAACAATTACATAAATATAAAATTAAGATATCAGAATCTCTAAAAATTTCCTCTAATTTAAAACTATAACAAAAATCTCATCTTGGATACATCCCTATCCCCTCTTCGATACACCCCTCCCTTCTCGAATAACCCCTATCCCTTCTTGGAGTACATCCCTCTCATTGAGTAACGTGTCGTTTCCAGTGTATTGGACAACAAAAAAATTGTATCCAAGAGCAATGAAAAATTCGAAACTTTTGTAACCAAAGAAACTTTCGGGATAAAGATATAATTAATCCCCAAAATGTATGAGATTTCTGTAAGTTTCCCAAAGAATCATGATCATAGAGAGCACTCTCTTCCTTGTCTAATTGATCTTTACATGACATGATTTCATATTAATCGAGACCTTAAAACAAATATCGATTATTAGAAAGGAAACAAACAAAAAAAAAGAAAAAAGAATAGTTTAAGTGATGAGACAAGTTGAGATGATTGATCACCAAGTTGAAGGCATGCTTGATTCTTGGGGTTGTGGTCCTTCTCTCTTATTGCTTGTACACAAATAGGGATTTGCCTTTTGGGGACCTCTCTTTCTTTTCTTCTTTTCAATTTTAGACTTTGGTATAGGCAAGTGTCAGTGGTCCCATTTTTGTTGTACTTGTGAAATCTTATCCCTTTATCATCATCATCATGAGACATCTTTTTACCTCTATGGACCACCCCACCCCCACCCAATCAAGCATGATTTTGTGTAATATTAAATTTTCTTTGTGAAATGACTTCAACTACTACTACTACTATTACTATCTTGAATGGATCATTTGTTTGTTTACAATCTTGGATACATTATTCATTCTCTCCAAATTATTCCTATTTTGCAATATGAAAGAAAAAAAGTTGGCATCTACTAGTAATATCACTATCTTTTTTTTTTGTATGGATTATGTGGGAGTAAGTCATTTAGCTTTTAGTTTTACTATATCAAAGTTACTAAAAGAAAATCATATTTGATTTCTCCTAGTGACTTTTCGTATTGTTTAAGCATTTTTTTGTAATCAACTATGTAAAGTTTGAGTGACAATTTATGAAATTATTACTATATGATGTTGAAGAGTGAGTCAAATTTTTGGAACTTAAGATGTGGTGTGAAGTGTTGAACCACAATGTTTTTGTGTGGAAAAGAAATAATGGAATTTGGACTTTTATTTTTTGTTCATTGGTCAATCACGTGTGAGAAAAGAATTTGCTTTTGGCCAAAATATGAAGAAAAAAAAAATATATAAATGTATGAATATTAGGAGCAGTGTAGTTGACTTTGTCAACTTGAAAAATTTAGATGCTTTTTATATTGGCTTACCTCATTTAACTTTTTTTCTAATCGTGTAGGGTAGGGAGCTTGCTTTGTTTTTTCTCTTTCCTATTGTTCTCTTAATTAATTTTTCGAGTTTAAGTTATATATATATATATATCGTACATGTAATAGACATTAGGTAATATGCTATTTTAAGTATATGAAGGTAGGATCAAACTAATATTCTGCTTGTGAGCGTAATGGTATAAGCCTGCCTGCTTGTGAGACCGAGGCTAAAATCCTTTTTTGTTTATTAAATTAGTATCTTAGACAATCTAACTCTATGTCTCATTTTTTGGGAGTTAATGAAAGTGAAAACTAAAAACTAAAAACTACTTTTTTTTTGGTAGGATTTTGTCAAAAACTTGGGCCTGCATCTGTTTTGAGTAGAACTATCTCTATGGTTTTGGTCCATTATCATAAAGCCCAAATGGACATTGAGAAGGATAAACTCACTTTATGGCACAAGCTCACCTTGACTACACTCATCTCTCCACCATGTATATAATCAGGTAAACAAAAGTGGAGTATACGACGATGGTACCCGTTGAAGAAAGGTTCTAGGTGATGATGTATTCTGCTTCTTGTCTAGGGAGGGGAGTCGAAATCCTTTCTATCGATTCTTGCATGGTAGCTGGTATAAGATGATGAGACGCAGAACAATTTTTTTGGAACCTGTTCTCTTAATAGGTGGCACAACGACTGTGTGTGTGTGTGTGTGTTAAAAGAAAGACCATTGTTTCTCTTTCTAATTTGACAACCTGAACAAATATGGACTTCTCAACTTAAAAGCTCTGCATTATGTAAATCCTCTTCTGTCAATGTAACATGCAGAAAAGAGAAACCTTTACAAGTAATGGTAACAATGTGGATATGGAAATAAAAATGAGGAACCTGAACATATCAAGGTAGGCTAGGAGAAAGTGTAGGCTTTGCTACTTTGAGTTCTCCACAATCACTGATATAAACAGTCTTGAGTGGTTTATTCCAGATTGCGCGGGCAGTTTTTGCTCTTCCATCTCCAATAAGCTCAGCAAAATCATTATATTGTCGAATGTTTTCGGATGGTTTATAAGTGGGAATGGCAGCTATGGTTGTCACTATATCCAAACCTGCAGTAGAGACCAAGTAGTGGCATGTCAGTTCTAGTAATCAGTGCTTTATAGAGAGCATGACCTGATCCCTGTCTAAAACTGACAATTATACACCAGCCACAGCAATATCTACTGCAAACAACAGAGCAACACAAAGAAACAGATAGGTGAATTGACTAATTATGATGATGTGTGAACAACTTCTAATATCACCAGGCCTCAAAATCACTCAGCAATATTTGTTCTATGCTGTAGCCAGTAGTAAAGTCTTCTCAGTCAGTGTTAGTACTATCTACTTTTCAAACCGACACCGTAAAAGTTCTGTTTGCCTTAACTATTGGGAAAGAACCATCTTGATTTATGCATTTGTTTGCATCATGTCTGTTCCTTCAATTTCTTTACCTATTTTGACCTGGTAGAACACATTCATATTAAGCAGCAGGTTAATGTTTAACTTGAAATACCTAATTGCACATAACAAGTTCAGTCTGGATCATATCACACAAGCCAAAGCACCCACGTGTCTTACTGTGAAGCCAAATGGTGCAGGAGACTTGAAAAGTCGAGGTAAACTTCAACTTCTCTTGCAGTGTTGATCAATTTTCAGCTCATTCCTCTCTTTTTCTGCATTTCTTCATTTACTCCCTTTGTTCCTAAAGCGCCTTTATTTCTCAACTTTCCAGACCCATATTAGCCCATTAAATCCTTTCCTTTCATCTGTTTATATTTAAGTTCCAGAAAGAATTCTCTCCTTTTAGTTATTCTATATTTATTTACCGCTTCGAGCTGAGATTAGAAGGATATTACATTTCCCCTTCTATTTTCATACTCCTAGGTATATCTATATACTTTGCCTACTTAGTCATGTGTGAACCTACCCTTTGCTTCAATCTAACAACTGCTAGGAACGAACTGTAGTTGACTAAATTTTTTATTTTCCTACTATTTTTCATTACCTAGGTTGCCATGTTTGGTAGAGTCAATGTTGAGACATGTTATCCCTCTGAGATTTTGTCAATTTCTTTAGTAGCTAACAGCAAAATTGGAACTTGCGAACATTTCATTGACATGTCGTTTCCTGAAACTTTTGGTCATCATTTGTCCCTATCTGCTTGAATCAGTTTCAAGTTTACGTATTTGGCATATTGTCTTAGGAGGTAGAAGTTTGGTCCAACAACACCAACAACATAGTGTACCTACAGCTGTTTTGAAAAGACTGAGATGCCTCTGTTATTGGTTTGAGCAGCAGAAATGACGATTAACAGGATAGGAGATGAAAAAAATCCATATTAAACACAGACAGCAAAGTTAGAGATAGCCCAAGGATTTCAGTGCCTTGGACATCTATTATAATACTCCATCTGTTTCATTTTGTTTGTCTAGTTTTGACTTGAGAAAGAGTTTAAGAAATATTGTTTCATCTTGTAGTCTTAAACATGTCAGGTGGAAAGTTCAAACTAAAGAGTTGCCAAAAAAGTAAGAAGACATTCTTTTTGAAATGGAGGTATTGAGTCACACTATCAATTAAATGGAAAAACCACGTCACTTTACCTAACGAATATCTAAATGTAAAGATCACTTCTTGACCAGCAAGTTAACATTTTCTTAAGCAAATATTACTTTGTCACAACATTGACAAACACTACGACAAAGCACCCTTTTACACTAAACATGCAGATTTGCCAACTAGAAGAGTAAAAGTCTCCCAATGTTAGCTCAGTTGGTAACGTGGAGTATATTGCGATTAACTAAAGTGTTCAACTTCTATACGCTAACAATATAAAAGACCTTTTACACTATGGTCGCCTAAGAGATAACTACAATAATTTTCCATAAAGATTGAATTTAATAACTTGAATATAAGGCATGCTACCTTCTACAACAGATAAAAATATACCAATATGCAAACATTCATCACATTTTCAGTGTATATAAAGTGGAGGACTGTAATGGGATTAACTAAAGTGTTTAACTTCTACATACCTGCAGCTCAATCACCTAAAAGATAACTATAATAATTTTCAATAAAACTCGAGATAACTAACTCGAATATAAGGCATGCTACTTTCTACAACACATTCAAATAGACTAACAGATAAAGTTCATTTACATCTTCAGCGTACAACAACAACAACATACTTGGTTTAATCCCACAAGGTAGTGTCTTGGGAATGTGGAATGTACAGTATACGCGGACCTTACTCCTACCTCAAGTATATGCAGACCTTACCCCTACCTCAGAGGTAGAGAGGCTGTTTCCGACCTCAGAGGTAGATAAGCTAAACTGAACTAAAGAAGATAAATTTGTAGATTATGAGAACTCACCTTCAAGAACAGTTCCAAAAACAATGTTTTTGCTATCAAGCTGAGGACAAGGTCCAGGTCCAGTAGTAATCAAAAACTCCACATTATGATAATTTGGATTCAGCTTAAGATCATCATCATCATCATTCTCAGCTAAAGGCAATGAAACAACTCCAGCTCTAGAATGTTCCAAAAGAAAAGCTTTAGATTCAATTGACTCCACATTCCTAATTAACTTCAATGGCGGTTTCACTTCTCCTTTATCTCTTCTCCCCTGTCTCCCCGCCATAAAAAACTGTCCCGGAAATATCTTCTGGACCAAAGTACCCTTATAAGTCGATCCAGACGAACCAGTACACATAGCTTTGAAATTTGAAACAGTAATCGGAACTAGGTTACCGTAAAGCCCTAAAACAAGTCGACCAATTGGTTCAGAATCAGCGCAATTAGATAGATCATCTCCTAGATTCCTGTTTTTGAAGTAATTAGGACATATACTTAAGTCTAAGAAGACTCGTTCAGTGATAGTAGTGTCCGGTGACGGCGGTGGGGCAGCGACGGAGGTAGAGATGGTTGAGGGAAATGTGAGAGTGGTGGAGAGGAAGAGGAGTTTACGTCGGTTGAGGTGGGGAGTAGGAGGGAAGGCGGAGGTGGAGTGACGGCGGAGATGAGGAGGAGTAGGGAGGAGGGTGGCGGAGCAGCCCATGATGACGACGGTGCATGGTGGTGGAGAAGAGTAATAGAGAGTTCGAGAAGATTAGATAAATTTTTGATTACGTGGAGAGTGCAAGCCACACAAAGAGAGACTAGGTGGGGACTACTTTTTTGATATTTTAATACAACTTTTTTTTAAAAAAAATATATTTTTAAAAATTCAAATAGTTTTTTTTTTATCTAAAATAATATAACTTTATTTACTATATGATATAAAAATATATTTGCATTATCGAATGTAAAGTCCGTGTATTTTCCACCTTCCTCAAACCCACTCGTGGGACTACACGAGAAAACAAGCTTTGGTGCATAGCATATAACCTTAATATTCACCGTTTATTTTCCTTTATATCAAACACATTCTTAATGTTCAAGTGTATTACCAGTGTCCGAGTCAAAATTTTTATCATTATCGATTAGATTCATAATATGAAGAAGTAAACACACGAAGAAGTTAAAGGGGTTCAACATTTATTATATATATACACACATTAAAAACAACGTAATTTTTCGCTTAAGAGTATCCCCTCAGTAGTCTACTCAATCCATGGGAGAGCTGACTATACTTGAAAATTCTATGTTGCTCGGACTCTTCAAAAATGTGATCGTTAGGTACGTGTTGGATCGTTCAAAAGCAATAGTACTTCATTACATTTTTGGAAAGTTCGAGCAATTTAGTGAAAATCTATGAACTATTTGCTAAAGATGGAGTAGTATGCTGTACATTTGAAGAAGAATAAGATTGAGAAGAGAATTTGGAAGCTGTTATTGACAATGTGATATCTTTCTGTGTTTGCCTTTTAGGTGATATATTCCTGTCGTGGACGCACGTATTTAGTTGTTTCCCCTTCTTTTCATGCAATGCACAGCTGCAGTTGCAATGATAAGGCCTCCTCTCGATGTCCATGTCTAACATCGACAAGCCTCCATCAAACACGACACACTGAAGCATCATTTCAGCTGCTCCACTAGTCATGTTCTTGTCTCTCAATCGTCCTATTCCCAAATATGAAAGTTAAAAGTTCGATACTTCTTGAAATTCTTTGTATGTTTAAGGCTTATATAGAGCTAACATACATTGATTTACATGTCCAACTTTGCGGATTTTGGCAGAATCAAGGTGAAAAAAGAGCTGTTTTCTGTTTGTTTTGGTTATCTTATTACCAATGGAACAGACGTTTTTTCCTATGATTCTTTTGTCCATCCTGCAGTGTTGAATAATTTCTGGATGTGCTTACTTGTAATGGAACGACTGAAAATCTTACCTGATTTATTCGTCTTATGCAACTGGTTAGCATTGGTGTGATTGTTCTTGTTATTGTAGTTCTCTAACGATTCCCACGAAGTACTTGATTCCTCCTTGGAGTTCTCTTCCTTGACTCCGCGATCAAGAGAGAAAGAATCTAAACAATTTTAATAGTATATTTGATCTCGTTAGCTTAGTTTTTCTGGGTTTCTACTTTGTAGTTTGCATACGTAGTCGTGTCTTGACTCAAGTACTTTTGTTCTTAATAGCTGGATATGTCAATTACAACAAGAAACAAGAAACATATATCATAAACTAATAATTGGATATATCTGCTTTATTGAGTCGAGAGTCTATCAGAAACAGTCTCTATACCTTCAAAGGTAGGGGTAAGGTCTTCGTATATGTGATATTACACTGGATATGCTATTGTTGTTAATAATTGGATGTATCGAGATCTTTTGAAGTACTGAAGAATACAATTGAAGTTTGATACCACTCAGCAGGTACAAGTTCTTTTGTCCAACCTTCACCTTGAAATAACTGTTATCAGGGCTGAATCTACAGGGTTAAATATGAGGCATGTGAGCCTGTGCTACGTAAAACTAGGCATTCTATGTATTTTTTTCTAAAATTGACGTAATATTATCTGGTGGCACCCATGCTACGAAGAAAAGGTTAAATGATGCACTCTGTTGCTCATTCAACTATCCAGATTCTAATTTTAACACTGCTTGATGCAGTGTATGACCGATGAACCAGTCGTTCAAATGAATTACGTGAGGCATGCATGTTAGGACTTCTCATGTTCGTCCATCCTGATATTCTCCTCGACCTTATTGTATGAGCTTAGTTTTAGAATCTCAAGGACGTAAAACGGTACATTGTTTAAACAGTAGTTTAGGTTAAGTAAATGATTCCTGAATTGGTTAAAGTAAAATGACAAAAAGAAGAAGCAGAATGAACTACGAACAAACCATTTGTCTCAGTGAAGTGATGGTGAGTTTGAAATGTACAAAGAAAAATGTATTAACTACTAGCTAACGCGTTAGAGCTGTATGCTGTACGTATACACTCCTAAATGATTGATTATCTCGAGACGTTGAAGATGGAAAACTGAATTTGGAAGCTTCTATTGACATGAAGTCATATCTTTCTGTTTTTTCCTTTTGCGGAATGATGATATTCCTACTATGGACACAAGTTCTTGGCTGTGAATATGTGATATATCTCCCTTCTCTTTATGCAATGCGCAACTGCAGTTTTTATAGCAAGGCCTTCTCTCGATATCCATATCTGACATTGACAAGCATCCGTCAAAGACACACTGAAGCATCATTGCAGCTGCTCTAGTGGCCATATTAAGGTAATACTCCCTCCGTTTCAGTTTCTTTGTCTGGTTTTGATTTGACACAAAATTTGAGAAAATAAAGAAAGACTGTTGAATATTGTAGTCTTAAAATAAAGATGCAAAATATACTAAAATTACAACCTTCTCTGGCCCTTCAAGTGTTGGGTTTCCACACAAGTTCGATTGCATTATTTATGGCTGTAGACCCTGAATGATGAGACTTTCGTGCAAATATTAACATAGCTTTTCCATCTTGCAGAGGGAAGCTTGGCGTAATTGGTAAAGTTACTGCTGCATTAGGTCATGGGTTCGACTGAGTTGCTTTTTTGATTTCTCTAAACATGAGGGGACGATATTAGCAACTAGAACATTTTCTGTAGATGGAGAAACCGATGAAATGAGTAGTAAACAGATTTGGTGAAAGTGACAGATGGTTTAGAAAGGCTTAAAACATATTACCTTGTATATTGTGAATGGCAATGTAAGTATATAAAAGACATAGACGTAGGCCATGCCGACATTATTCCCTTGGACTTTACTGAAGAATCAGGATGAACTACGAACGAACCATTTGTCTTAGTGAAAGAACGAGATTTGATAGACTACGAGGAACAGAATTTGTTAGACAATGAGGATGAGAAGTTTAAAATAACAAACCAGTGGACTAATTTCGGGGACTATGGGAGCCTAACAGGACAGAAAAAAAGTATGTGAAAGATGAAGTGATGGTAAGTTAGAAAGTTTAGAATCAGTGTACTAACTCTGTTAGTGAACAAAAACTAATTCTACTAACGAACGTGTACAATGTGATCAAGTTCAGAATTCAAATGCTGCATTTTCAGTGTTCGCGTGAAGTTAAAAAAGTTAAATCTTTTGAATCCTGGAAAGAAAGAAAACAAGCAATGGAACATTTGCTCATAAAAATCAGTGAAAAATGTCGCATTTCTTTTTCTTTTGTAAATTTACATCACCTATGAAACGGATACTGAAGTATACATGTACTTACAAGAATGTACAAAGGAAAATCTATCAACTACTTGCTAACATTAGAGCTATATGCTGTACACTCCCAACTGATTAATTATCTCGAGATGATGAAGATGGAGAAGTGAATTTGGAAATTTCTATTGAGAAAAGCATATCTTTCCGGTTTTGCCTTTTGGGGAATGATATATTCCTAGTATGGCACAAGTGCTTGGTTGTGATATATCCCCCTTCTGTTTATGCAATGCACAACTGCAGTTTTATGGTAAGTCCGTCTCTCGATATCCATAGCTGACATTGACAAGCTTCCATCAAAGACACACTGAAGCATCATTGCAGCTGCTCCAGTGTCCATTTTACAAAGGTGCTTGGATAGTGAGGTGAGTTTTCACTGTCTATATGTGTGCATGTGATGTCGACAAGGTTATTTTTAACACTTTCTTGATATTTTTGCAAAGGTTTATATAGAATACAGTGTCGTGGATTCACTAGCCTTTCTATGATATGGAGGGTAGAAATTTGTTATATGTTCTTGTTATTGTAGTTCTCTTGTGATTCCATCAAAATAAGCGTATTCTCCTAGGAGTTCTCTTCTACTTTGTATTTTGCACTTTTAGATGTATTGAATTAAGTATTGTTTTTAAGTTACTGATTATTCTAATGAAGACTTATACCAATATATAGGAGACTCAGCAAGTGCAGATTCTTTTGCACTATTTTCATCAGCGAATGGTTATTTTATTAGCATATAATGCTCCAAAAAAATGGCATACATTGCCTCTGTTGACCTCGGTATTTCCTTCTGCTTACGTTCTGTAGATTCACATTTCAAATTGATATAATGCTCCCTCCGTTTGATACATCTGCTAAATATTTGCATTGCTTTACCATCTTAGGAAGGGGGATCTTTTATATTTAGCGTAACTGGTAAAATTGTTACTATGTGTTCTGCATGCAGTTCATGATTTAAAAATTCATTATTCAACTAAACTAAGTCATTGTACAACACAAATGTTGAAAATAATGATCAAGAAGTTATGGTAAATTTGGTATGGAACATTGGCAATGTGATAAATCTGTGGACACAGATGCTGCATTTTTAGTCTTTACATAAAAGGCGAAACATTTTGTATTTTGTTTCTCTTTTGGTAATTTACAGCACATAAGAAGTGGATACTTAAGTATACACAAACTTACCATTATGTACAAAAAAAATTAAAATATTGAAGCAAAGAAGTACACTCGATCCCTCGGAGAGCTGCACTTTGCCAAAATCTATCAACTACTTGCTAAAGTCGGTGACTGATGAATTATTGCACAAAGAGGATGGAGAAGAGACTAGGGATAGAAGAAAAGCAGTACATTCAACTACTTGCTAAAGTTGGCGCTGTATGCTATACACTCGTGACTACTGAATTATTGCACGAAGAGGATGGAGAAGAGAATCGAGAAGCTGCTATTGACAAAGTCATATCTTTCTGGTTTTGCC